GGGGGGGAGGCGGTAAAAGATGAAACAAATAGACAAAGGTCTCTGCTTGCCATTTGGCTTCCTTGTCTTCAAATGACATAGCAAGGAACACTAGAGAGTGGAGGTAGCAGACAAAAGATATGGCCTCCCCTCATCTATCCTTCTATGTACAATCTCTCCCTTTCCATCTCTTTTCAACTCTTAGAAGTTACCTTTCTTCCATGTTGACCTTATCACCATTTCTTTCTTTCACATGACATGAGCAACAAAATTAAACCAGACCATTCAGAAGTGTGTCTTGTTTTTCCCTACCCTCTGCCCAACACAATCCCACGTAGCTCCATAGCCTTACATCTTAGAAGTCATAGGTGAGTGCTATCTTACATAACAACAAGAATGACTACTTTCTTCATGGCTGAGACGAGCACTAGTACTACTAGCAGCAACATTGGATTGTCTTCGCCAATTTTTAAGCTAGCTCAAGACCATCTCTTCACAATCTTGCTTCTGCTTCCTATAGATTCTCTCATCTCCTTTGCCAGGACTTGCAAAAGGTTCAGGTCCTTGACAAGTTCTGATACACTGTGGGAGTCCATATGCAGGAGTGAGTGGGGGTCCACATCAGTGGATGCCCTCAAGTCTTCTATCAATACCAAAAACAATCAGCAGTTGCCATGGATGAGGCTAATAAAGCAGGTGTCTCAGCTTGGCTCAGTTTGTTGTCATAAACTGTCCGACCCAGATAGTGAATTGATGCTCCCAACTCCCAGGGCTTCTCACTGTCTTAACTTTGAATCTGATTGCCTGGTCTTGTTTGGTGGTGGCTGTGAAGGAGGTTAGTCTATCTTTTCTTTGATTAGTTGTTATGATTCATAAATCGCATGTTCTTTGATTTGAATGGTAGTTTCTTTGTCCTTTTTTTTAATCATTCTGTGTCTTAAATGTGCCCGTGTGTGTATGTGATGCTTCACTGTTTGATTTGCTGGTTAAGGGTGCTAAAGGAATGTTTATATTGGTTCATGTCAGATAATTAGTTTTTCCTTTCAGTTGTTTAGTGTTCCTGATTCAACTAACCACGGATTAGGGTTTCCATTGCTTGAGAATCTTCTTGCTTCATGGTCATGGCTTCAATGTATTAGTAGGTTTGAAATTGAGCATAAGTTGTGTGAGTTGAGGCTGGTCGGTGTGAGATGGCGACAGTTAAAGCATGCATCTTAAATTTCTGGTTGGCAACAGTTCAATCTATTCCTCTACATTATCAAATAGTAGCATTTGTTTTTTTCAAATTCAAGCACATTTGTCTGTGCCGCATCATAGCCTACAGCAGGCTCCTCTGCTTAATTTGGCATCAAGATCTTAACATTTAAGATACTGTAAAGCGACAATATCATTAGTTCCTTGGTGGCTTGCTGCAAATGCAATTGCCCCACCTCTTGTAGAGTGCCCTCCTTGAAGATTAGCAACTCGGATGCTGTATTGCAGCAATCATTTTCTGATTCCACGATGTTTTGTTACTGCTACTTTTCCAGTGGGACTATTAAGAGCATGGCCCATCCCAGTAAAATTTAATAGAACTAGCAATCAGAAGCATAAACTTTCAGTAGAACATCTTTATTTCCATGAGAAGAGTCCTGATGGAGGACAATTAGCATCATCTTTGAACTTAAAGTACTTGCAACCAGTGAAGGTGTAGATTTCAGAGGCAAAGCCATCTGAGCATCCGTTTTCGCCTTCTGCATGGTGAAATGAAAAACAAAACCCATCAATGCCTCTTTGTTGATATCATGCAGGATTTATTAGCCGCTTGAGCTATAATTATATAGTGGAAGGATGATTGAATCATTTTCAGCAAGCCCCATGGGAAATTATACCAGTGAAAATGGACAATAATTGAACAATCACCACCGATAAGAAGGGCTGACATTCTCTCCATTGTTCTGAAGCAGTTCTGCTTTTAGTTTTTTACCTGTTTATGTCAAAGTGGTTTGGCATATAAGCATTTCTTGTTTTGCCGTGTTGGTCTTCTTCACAGGGCGAGATCTCGATGATACTTGGGTGGCATACATAGGTAATGATTTTCAAAGGATGCTGAAGTGGCAGAAAGTTAGTTCAGGGATTCCAAACGGGAGATTTGGGCATTCATGCATCGTCATTGGCGATTATCTGCTGCTCTTTGGAGGAATTAATGATCGTGGGATGCGTCAAAATGATACATGGGTGGGGAAAGTAGTGCTCAGTGAGAACCTTGGTATAACCTTGTCATGGAGGCTGCTTGATGTGAGATCCATAGCACCACCACCCCGTGGGGCTCATGCTGCTTGCTGCATTGATAAAAGTACAATGGTCATCCATGGAGGGATTGGTTTGTACGGCCTTAGAATGGGAGACACTTGGATTCTAGAACTTTCAGAAAATTTCTGTTCTGGAACATGGAGGGAGCTGGTGACTCATCCATCACCTCCAGCTCGTTCAGGACACACATTAACATGCATCGAAGGAACAGGAATTGTTCTATTTGGAGGAAGAGGTTCGGGGTATGATGCGCTGCATGATGTCTGGCTCTTGCAAGTGTCTGAGGATGAACTCAAGTGGATACAGATTCTCTATAATTTGCAAGACATACCTGCAGGAGTCTCCCTCCCACGAGTCGGCCACTCAGCCACACTGATTTTGGGAGGTCGGCTGCTAATCTATGGAGGTGAAGATTCACAGCGGCACAGGAAGGACGATTTTTGGGTATTAGATGTTAGTAAGATCCCATCAAATAAAGCGCAGTCTCCATTAAACTCAAGGGGATTGCAGGCAAATAATATGTGGAAAATGCTCAAGGCAAAGGGTTATAAACCCTACCGCAGATCATTCCATCGAGCCTGTGCGGATCATTCAGGGTTTCGCTTGTACGTTTTTGGTGGAATGGTGGATGGCTTACTTCAGCCTGCCGAATCATATGGGTTGAGGTTTGATGGGGAGCTCTTTCTGGTCAAATTGGAGCTGGAAACAGATATAGTAAGGTGCTAAGTTACCACAACAGAATGATCCCTCACTCTGCTTAGTTCTATACATGACAGCCTCTCACGTAGCTCAATTATTATTTGCTTTGTACATGTTTCATGAAGAAATATGAATAATGCTAGACATGTTTATATTTTAGACAAATCTTAAGGACCAAGAAAATGATCTAAATAAAGTCACTGCCTTGGGGCTGATTGTTTGAGGCCATACCATCTGGCGGCTTAAAAGAGCCTCTTTAAGTTTCTTTAGAAAGAAATCCCATGTTCTGTTGACGAACCAGAGCCGTAAACTTGCAAGCTATCAAAGAACAGGTCTAGTGTTATATTTGATATGATTTTTATAAAATGAATTATTTTTTTTACCTAAAAATGTAATAAATATATTTGGTTACTTAAATCAAAAGCTCGTTACAAAATTAAGCCAAATCTTGATTTAATTAAAAGTTGAGATTTTTAAATTTTAACTTAAACTTACACAACATTTATTCTTTGAAAAACCCATTTTAATTCATTTTTACTAGATATATTTCTAACTTGAAGCCGTCATAACTTGTTTTTATCGTAAGTTATCTATGAAAAACACCTTTTAAATTATAATTTAAAGTCAGGAATTATAGTTAAAAATTCATGTGAAATGAATTCTTCATCCAGTACCTCCCCATACACTATGCCTAGTCTTCATCACTTGTGCTAACTGGTAACCCTCGTGATTTATCTTAATCATCAACGCTGTACTTCGATCACCAAACAACCTTGCTTCAATCTCACATCTTCAAAGACTCGCGTTTAGGACAGTTGAAAAGAGCGAGGTGAACGATCATCCAATGCTTGCATTCACGAAAATTTTCAAGCCAAGGGTGGGATTGACAAGTTCATGGCAGTTTCTATGGAGAATAACAACAGAACAGAATTGTTGAGAGCACACATTTTTATTGTTTTTCCAGGGTATAAAATCTAATGTGTTACAGTAAAGTATAGTCTCAAGGTGATACAGCACATTGGGAAGAATTGATACTCCCCTCATTCCTTTACTTACACTAGGGAACAGAAAAAATGTTGACTTAAACAAAACACAAAAAAATGGGGTAAAAGAATGCTACAGATAAATATTAGACTTGATGGGAATGGCTATCCTAGCAAAGAAGAAACAGATATCCCGGTCACGAGTTCAATCTCAGTTTGGTTCTCCACATATCTGCAATGACTTTTTTCGGTGCTGGATCATCTGGTCCTCTATCTCGCTGTCCTGATGTGAGGTAAAACCATCCATTCCAGAATCCAACCAGAGTAGTTTTGACACGATATGGAAGTTTTCCAATTACTGACCATGTCTGCAGACATGTATGAATTATAAAAATTATATAATACCATCCATTGTAACAGAAATTGATCTTCTGTGGAGAGAAAAAAAAGAGAGGACAGTTTTAATGCAAAAAAAGAAAAAGAAAGAGTGAAAATAGTTATTCACTATCGTGTATTATTGTGGCTGCACTGATAAGACTCGAGCTTGTCAGGTTCTGGAACAGGCATTAACATCAAACCTGGCAAACTTCTAGTGGTGTTTTGGGAGACATAAGCACATGGCATGGTAGAAACTGCCACACAACTGATGGTGAAATCGATCAGGTTCTTATCACTTCTAGGTTTTGATGTTCACCAGAACCAATACTAATTCATTCCTATTTTTGGTCAAGAAAGCTTGATAGGCCTGTCAGGTTCGGGTAACCGTGGCCAGAATAATGAAACAAGGGGAGAAATCTCTCACATCCTTCTGAGGTCAGAAGAATAATGGAAAAACCACAACCAGTATGACAATACTTTTGGGGTATTCTGAAAATCTTCAGCTGTATGAACAAATTCACTTCCAAGCATAGTACTATGCTATGATCGACCAAACCAATCTCTACATTTTAACTATAAATTAAATCTAAAGTTTCTTGACTGTCAGCTCACAAAAATCTCAACTAATTATTGGACTATTCTTGAACAAAGTCTTCCAAAAGGAAAAAGCGATAAAGCATAAGATTTAAGAAATAGAGAATGCATGCCCCGATCTTAACAGGTCATCAAATCTTTGGAGAATTTCAATCCAATGTTTAAAAAAATGTTCAAAATAGGCAGATGAAAGCATCTAGACAGCAGAAAGCCAATAACCTTCCAATGGCAGCAACCAGACAAGAAATGCCCGGGTGCATCTTTGTGCGTATGCACAAGCATTTTATACGTGATATGTAGAGATATGTAAGATAACATGTGCATCTTTGTGTGTATGCACAAGCATTTTATACGTGATATGTAGAGATATGTAAGATAACATGTGCATCTTTGTGTGTATGCACAAGCATTTTATACGTGATATGTAGAGATATGTAAGATAACATGTGCATCTTTGTGTGTATGCACAAGCATTTTATACGTGATAAATAGAGATATGTAAGATAATGTACAAAACCCATCCCAGATTATACCTAGGGCTGTGTGTGCAAATAGCAGGTGCTGTGATGTGTAGAAATATGTAGGGTTATGTAAATTATGTTTGGGAGCACATAAAATAACAAGAACCGTGCCTTGATGCCAAACTAGTTTGGAAGCACATAAGAAACATAAAGCTCATACCAGTGTGTCAAGGTTGAACCGGAAAATTTCACCAACCAGGACCATCTTTTTAGTTGTAGGGTGTTTTTCTGTAGTGCCTCCAGCAATAACAATGGAATTATTAACAATAGCCCAAGCAAATTCAATATGAGAATCAGGCTTCGGCATAGGAGGTAAAGGTTTCCACTTCATCTCATCATCCAGCATGTGGACCTCATCATATACTATCTGAAGCAACAAAAAAGAGCCAAGACCATTAAATAAAAGCAGAGGGAACGAGAGGAGGGGAAGTGGAGACAAATTTCTCCAAGTTACAACATAACTGTGGTACTTTTTCTGTGATAAAATAGACCATAAAAGTCATTTAAAAATCTAAACATTAGGTCTTGGGGTTAGTTATTCAAATAAAGAAGATCAAGCGTAGTTGGAACACACTTGTAAAGCTTTATAATACAGGATAGTTATCAAATCAAAGATAAACAGTATCATGTTTTTATTTTCTGTTTCATACGATACTTGATTTCATGTAAAAATGACAGAATAATGATGTTTCACTCTCTTATTTTCTTCTTATCAAATGCAAGTAACCCAAAAAAACTCAAAAAATCTCTAGGGGGCCACTTAAAGCTTGGGTAGAAAATGTTGATGCAGTCTATAAAAGCTGTCAAATAGGATTATTGATAAAAATAATATTAATCAATATACCTCATTCCTACGAGAGCATTTGAAAATAGGTGATCCAGGCTTGGCCATAAAATCACCTTCCTGACCACCGATAATGAGCAGTCGATCACTAACCACGACACAAGCGCTGCATAAACACAAAAAATTATAACAGGTAGAAGTTTCAATCATGAGCTATTTCCCCTATGATCATTTCACTGTGACCATTTGGTTTGGCAACAACACTATCAATGATAAAATGTTTTATTTGTTAAACTGTAATAGCATATTGAGAATTCATTTCAAATCAAACAAGATAGCTAAATGATGAAATAATAAGACTAGGATTGGCCACAAACCGATGAGGTCCTCCACGAGGAATGGGTATTTCAGGCCTCCATTCCTTTTCCAATGCTTTCCCATCCTTTACAGCAAGACTCCAATGCTCTAATGCTGGAGTGTGCCGATTTTCCTTGCTGCCTCCCATCACATGGAGTCTACCTCTCCAAAGTTGAGTTGCTGGTGCATATCTGAGTGTTATTACATTAAAGTTCAAATCTCCTTATCAAAGTGCAGAATAAAGAAATACAGAGCATGAACTAATTTTGGCTTCAAAGTTCAAATATTTAAAGCCACCAGCACAATGCCAACACTGACACGTAGCATTTCAATTCAGAATAAGAACCACAGAGATAAGGCAGATGACCATGCAAACAGAACAAGGCAAACAGTTTCTCAAAGCAAAATTAAAAAATAATCAAATACTGCTATTGCAAAACAAGCTGATGTTCTTGCATCCCATTTTAAGTTCATTTTAAACTATTTTGACACAGGCACATACCTAGGAACTGGTAAAGGTGGTAAGTCCTGCCATTGCTTTGTCTTGGTATCTAGCACAAAATTACGAGCTGTAGGTCCTCTGCATTGTGGACCATATTGTCCAGTGACAACATAAATGTATCTCCCATCTGTGACCATTCCCAAATGTGAATGAGCCATTTCTTTAGGCATATCAAATCTCCGTCCCCATGTATTATCCGTGAAATTGTAAATATCAACATGTGAGTGCACCTGTTAATCCCAAGAGATCGGCACTTCAAAAAATTAGCGAAATACATACACAAATTCAAACCATAGAGAATAAAAATAGTAGAAGAGCTAGAAGAGGTTTCTCACAAGATCAATCGTTCCATATCCAGCAAAAACGTATAGAAGATCCTTAATCTGTATCGCAGCCCCATCTAGCCGAGGCACAGGTGCACTAGCCATTTTCTCCCATTTCAGTTCCGGTGCAGGCAAATCAGCAAATGTAGCCGATAAGAATCGATCATGGACACCATCCGCCTACACACATATATAAACAAACAAACTATTCGTAATTCTTTCCTAAACATCCAAAATTTCACTATAAACACAGAGTAAATGGAGATTACTTAAATGGGTTACATTATAAATCTAAATTGAACCAAAAAGCTTGTAGCTTTATCAGCTTCCACCTATACATAACAAAGGAATAAACAACAAAGCATCCAACTTTTTCCCGCGTCAATCTCATAAACACAAAGCTAAGCTCCAAAACTGAAAAAACTTAAATGGGCAGCGCTAAAAGCGTAAATAAAGCAAAAAAGACTGTACCTTTATTTTTGGGGCTTTAGGGTCAACATGATGCGGTTCTTGTTTTGGAATAATTAGATTGGATTGAGAATTATCAGCAGGAACCCAATTGGATAAATAAGAAGAAGAAGCGAAATGTGGAGAAGAAGCCCACAGATAATCAGCAATCAGGCCAAACCCTAATAAAACCACACAAAGTATCACCAGTTTTGTTGATTTTTGCTTCCCTGATGACCTTACCATCGCCTTCTGTATATTTACATGTGCACACACATATAGCTCTAGAGGGATAATAAGGTTAACGGAGAAGGCGAAGAGGGAAATTATGGGTGTGGAGATTGTATGGAGATCTTTCTCAAGACAGAAGAGAGATATTGGGAGACAAGGACATATTCGGATAGGTATCCGAATGTCGGTTCCTTTTTATATTTGGTTTTTTAAGTGAGGATGCTAGGAAGGAAGAAAAGAAACTTAAAAAGGGAAAACTACAATTATGTCTTCTATCTTTTGTGATGGTTTCAATTAGGCTCCTCTCAGACTTGTGACCCTCGACAACATACCAACATCATGCTAATGCTCGAGGTCTTATTGTGTGTAATGATGCTGAAATAGAAAAGCACGAGGGCTTATTCCTTCCAAAAGCAATTTTAATAAAGGAGCTACGAAGAGAAGGGGCAGAGAAAATGCGGGAAGCCTCGTTCTTGGAAGCTGAGGTCCCTCAACATGGAAGTTGGTGACTCCTGAGGTAGATTTGACCAAGAGAAGATGAATTCAGAGTATGAACAATGCTTGAGGGATCTGGAGGAGAACCTTGACATTAGGTTCAATATACCACTCTATCATGAGAGGGACTATCAGCCTTCAGAGATAGCTTCTATGGCTACTTATGGGGAAGATGCCTTCTATTCCACCAGAAGAGTTGCTTGCTGATCTTGGTTTGAGTGACCAGGAAGATGAAGATGACATGGGAAAAATCAGACATTGGAAATCATGTACATGTTCAACAATAATTTTTGAAATTTTATAAAAAAGATTACTGCACTTCGGTGGAGCAATCAAGACATCTATAGAATGCAGTAAAAAAACCTCAGAAGCCTTCCCCGGTTGCAGGGAATAGGCCTGCCCTCAACTCTTTCAAGCACTGGCATGGTTACACTCCCTTACGTGCTTTTTAACATGTAGAAGTGCTTGCTGGTCTACATGGCCAAAAACAAGCGTGTTGAAAGAAGATTACAGGGAAACCTCAACTTAATTTGGACCCAAATGTTTCAGACAGTTCTCAACTAGGTCCATCTGTCATTGTTCATTAACTTTTTTGGTCAAATTTTCTTCAAAATGATGCTGTTTCATTGCATGTTCGAATTACGAAGGAAAACATTAGCAAAAAATTGATGAAAGGACTCGGTATAGAACCGTGGAAAACATTTGGTGCCTAAGTAATAAAATTGGGACACAATTAAAAATGAGTACATAGATTGGGGAGCAAATTGAGGTTTCTCCAAGTTTATATTAAAAGAAACGCAGGCTAACCATGTTTTTAAAAAAATTCAATTTTTTTAACTCAAAATAAATTTTTTTTATGTTTTACATTAATTTTAAAAATATTTTTTAAAAAATAAAAAATATTATGTTAATATATTTTTAAATAAAAAATTATTTTAAAAAACAATCATAATTATCCTCTCAAATAATCATAATTATACAATCATAACTACACACTCAACCATGCCCTAAAACTTAAATTACACATACCCCGTCCAAGACTTAAGTTGCCGTTTAATCCAAGTTTTTTTTTTTAAAAAAGCTTTTTAAAAAAGCAATAAAAAATCTAAAACCAAGGCAAAGTTGTTAAGATAAATCTAGGTTTTTTCCCCTAACCTGGGTTTAGCCCCAAATCAAAAATTCATCTCAAAACATTTAAAAAAAAAAAAAAACACTGAAAATAATCATTTTAATATATTTTCCTACAAAAAAAACCATTTTTTAAAAACATCAGGTATGATTCACGACATAGTAATCTCTACTTAAAAAAAAACATTTTTAAATACATGCAAATTATCCAAGACTAGGAAAACATTAAACTGCTCGAAAAAAGTGTCATCAACAAGCTCCATTGATATGATTTACGACGTAGTAATCTCTGCTTTGAGACAACATACTGATATCTCACAACATATTTCTTTCTATTTTACATAATCTCAATCCCCCCGAACATGTAAAATTCTCAGCAATATCATAGCCACCCCCCCAAATCACAACCTTCAAGCCCTAGCTTAAAAAAATGAAAAATAAAATAAAATAAAATAAAATATGGCACCAAACACTTAAACTATACAACAGGTGAAATTGAAGAAGAAGAATACAATGCCTGCCTATCTCCATCACCAGTAATCATCAGTGCCAGCACCATATCACTTCCACCACTATCGATATAGATAGTGAAAAAGAAAAAGGGAATAGCAAGGTGAACCTACAGCACATGATATTACACAGGTATGACATCATTCTTTGAAGTGTCTTCGCATCTCAAAACAATACCCTCGAGGCTAGCCGGAAAGATACATTTGGTCCACTGGCACCCACTGGTGATAGGCTCAGGGGGAGGGACAATCATAAGTACATTTTCATTCCTTTGAACAACTCCCATTACACTAACCGTGCTTCCTTCTTTGATACACCTGCACAAAGCATTTGCAGTTATTCTAAGTTTGCGTGCAACTCATCAAAGGTGTTAGCGATAGCAGCTAATATTATAACAGACAATAATGCTAGAATATGTGATGTTTTGGGGACAAGAAAATTACCAATCCAAATCAAATAAACTTGTTCAACTTGCCATGAAAAATCGTGGACCAGAAGGCAATTTTATGGACCTATTATAAACAGGTTCAGCTAATCCAACTCAACCACCACAACACAATAAGACTGTACCTGACTGCCCGCTCCGGAAAAAAGGAAGGAAAGGAAGGCCTGATTGTTGTTAACCAACAAAATCACGAATACAGAAAGAAAAAACCTCATATTTCATTGTTCTTGTTGTGATTTTACGATTGAGGGTAAAACAATAACTATGATTTTTGGACTGTAAAGCCCTATCATGTACTTTTATAGATAATGTACTGCCTTATAAGTTATAATAATCAGCTCCCCTCCCCTATTCTAACCAAACAAAAGATCATTTAACTCCCACTCCCCTCCTTATAAATCCATGCAAGTGAGAGTACTGCCTTCCTTCGCCTCTCAGATTGCATTTCTCTCTTCCCCTCCTAATTTCACAAGCAGTCTAAGAAGAAAACATATTCTTAAATGCGACTAGGTGTGTCCCAGAAGATCATTATTACAAAGGTAATGAGGAAAGACAAAAAAACAGACAGTTTTGTGCTGGCACATAAATTTGCATAGACCAAAAGCTATGATGAAAGCAACATTATCAACAAAAGAAAGCATTTACCCTTCTTTCATTCGCATTATATGATCATTGCTTGAAAGATTTCTTTCTTCCAACCATTTGATGAACTCTGGAGACAACTCTTCAGTACCCGGGTTGACATCAATGACAAGGGAGTCATCAACATAAGGAGTCAACCTCGCTCCGTAGCCAGTTTTAACCAATGCTCTCAATCCGGATTGAAAATCAGAAATGTAGAAGTCAACAGCACGCCTCTGTCAAATAGGTTTTACAGAACTTCCATAAAGAAATGAAAAAACTCAAAACCCAATAATTATTTATAATCAATGGGCACATCGTTCTGTTGACAATGACATGAATGGTCACCTTTCATCGACATGGCATTTATAACAAGCAGTCCAAGGAACCAAAATAAAACAAACAAAACAACTGAACATGAATAGCAGAAAAGATGTTATTGACAACAATGAGAGGGTAAGACATTGCCCAGAAAATTGAAAACTATAGATAGTATTCATGGTAACTAGCTCCCCAAGAAGAGACAATATGTAGCAATCACCAATTCATCTATACACATGTGGCGAAGCGTTTAAGATATTTCCCAGGTCTTCATGAAATTTAAAATGACAGAAGTATCTCTTTCCAGTAAATACTGATTGTTGACAAAATTCTCCCAGAAACCTAATATATGCAAAATACTTACAAACACTATAATCCATTGAAATTTATCTAATCAACATTTCAATCACTCACTTCTAATGATCTGAGTCCCCAACTGAAACGACGATGAGTTGGGTTGGCTGCTTTTGAGTCCCATCCTCTGTACTCGTACAAACTTGTGGAGGTATATACACATCTAGGAACTCTTTGGAAAGATGACTCCAGGGGCACGTTACCACAGGTGACCACCTTCAAAAATACAATATAGCAGTTTATATGAATTACTAGAGCTTAAACAAGTAAATCAATGACTAAAACAGCATAAACAGTGCCTTCAATGTATTGGAAGACATGCATTGTAAAGAAATCACATCCCCATCAATTAAAAACGACAGATCCATTTATAAGATGTATTAAACCTCATCTGCCCAATCCTCCCAGAACAATATCTTTCTTCCAATATGGATTCATGACAATTTATATGATGTAGGTATACAAGATTTAGCATGCACTGTGGTACACAGATCCAATGCAAAGGTGGCTGAGCAGTTAATGATACACTGCTAGTGATTATACAATATGAGTGCTCACATGAGTGCACACACAAACACAGATGCTGGAATTTCAGCTTTAAATACAGCTAAAACAGAATTGGTGAGTTATATTTTCACTTCCAATCACTGCCCGCTGCCATTTTATTTATCTAATTTTGGTTCTGAATTTATTTTGAAGGAAGATTAGCTTTCGTTTTCAAATCCTATTCATAGAACTAACACAATCTATTCATTACATTTTGAACACATTAGTGATAATTAATGGTATGTTGAAATCTGCATTGCAACTTACAAACAAGTACAGTGAGGAAAAAACCCTAGTTAAAATAAATTCACCAAAACAGTGACAAGCTTGACATACAGAAATAAATTTTAGAAAAGAAAATATATACCCCAGAGATCTTCACAAATTGCCCATTTTTGGCATTTCGTAGCTCAGCATCTGGGTAACGAGCAATGTAAGCCATGATAGCTTTTCTCCCAAAACAGGCATTCCATATGAACAATGAAGTAACGGCGCCAAAAACAACCATAACAACGATTAAGAGAATGGCATTATGGACTGCTGCAAGGATAAAACCACCAGCAATGAAACCCATTAAAAAAAGTAGAATCAATGACCACAAGATTAGCTTTGGGAAGGTCTTTCTGAAGGAAAAGTCATCATCTTGGCTAAGAACAGTCACGGCCTGGTTATGAATAATAGTTGAGCCTGGAATTTTCATTGAACCCATAGATTCTAAGGGACCAGATACCTTCCGAGGTGCCCCAGATGAATTCAAAGGGCCTGAAGATATAGGACCAGATGTAATCAGACCAGTAGTAGGAAGAACAGGTGGAATGGGACCAGAGTGTTGGCGGCCAGAAGGTGTCACTCCACCTGATTGAGGGCCAGATAACTTCTTTACTGGCTCTCCATGTTTATTTAGGGGTCCAGAATTTGATTTTTTCAATGACGCTGAACCAGTTCCTCC